AAGTCTTGCAAGTCTAGTGAGACAACTGATATAAGGTCGGATGCAAATAGTGATATGAAAAAATGTGCTAGAGACACTAGTACCAAGAAATGTGGATGCCCATTCTTGTTAAAATGTGTCAATATTGGTGATGGGGATGATTGGAAGTTGGAGGTGATTTGTGGAGTACACAACCATCCTATTTCAGAGTATCTTTAAGGTCATTCATTTGTAGGGCAATTTACTGAAGAGGAGAATGCCTTGTGTTTGGGCCTAAATTGCACACCCAGTATGAGGAAGTAAAAGCCCATCTCGGTTTTTGGTAGCCACCAACACTTCTTTAAAATTAGGCCATAAATACACATTTAGTCCAAAGCATTAAAAGCCCTAGTCTGGAATCTACCCAAGTCTTTTTTAAAAAAAAGAGAGGAGCCCATCACTAGCGCAGACCAAAAATATCACAGATTTGATTAAAGCCTATTTTTCAAGAACCCACATGACCACCAGAAATAAAACAAGTCAACAATTTCAACTATCACAGAGTTGATTGGGAATTTAAAAAGAAAAGAGCAGTGGCTAGCAAACTAGGAAGAGATATCTCTGACACTCTGCCATCCGAAAATCAAAATCCTTCTTATATATTCAAAGATATTATTTCCACTCCAAAGAGGCACTATCTTTTCAAGGGATATGCAAGCTATGTTTTTCAGAAAGAAGATAAGCAGGAAAGCAGGGATTTGTTCAAACTGAAGAAATCAAACTAACCATCACGGTTGAAATCTCACAAGGGGCAGTTAAATTGGGAAAAGGAATTAGGTTTCTTTTAAAAAAAACAAGGAAGTGATCTCAAAGATTGATTGATAAAAGCCTATCTGACAGAATTAAATTAGAATCATTCCCTCTCTTGTATCTCTTTATAGATCTTTGAGAAGACTTGCTGCCCATTATTTAAAAAAAAAAAAAAAAACCCTGCCCCTGTGCATTTCTTGTAAATATAAGAGGGAGTAAACATGGCACAAAGAATATAAGAGGGAGTGAACAGGGTAAAAGGACACTCAATTCATCAATCAAACAGACAACAAGAAATCAACCAATAAGCTCACTCAAATTCCAAGAGAAGCCAGCTTTAGATCAGAATCCCCAAAGTCCAGACTTAGAAAATAAGTCATTTAAAACGAGATCTCTCGTTACAAATTTGGTCCAGCAAATACCAAGACAGGCAGAGCTCGAGTTTTTTTTTTTTCAAATATGAAAGCCTCAACAAATTTCACAGTGCAGTCTTTAACACATTGAGTCCTTAAGAATAGCCACTTCTGCCTTTTCAGACTGAAGAAGTCGCAGTTCTGCCCACTCAAAAGCCTCACAAAGCTTGAAGTAGATTAAAGCTCTGCCAGAATTGAATTTTGGTATCGATTTACAGTTGAAGTTTAGCAATTGAAGTTGTTGACAGTCCAGTCCAGCCCAGGCATATCCAGTCCAGCCCGGATCAGAGCCTTCTATCCAGGCAGAAATGGAGTTCCAATCCTCTTTCAATCTTTCTAGCGTTGATATGTATGTTTATAGTTGTGTAAATGGCATTTTTGCCTAAAAACAGCTCAATTCCTATCAACCATTCTGACCAGAACAACCGTTTTTATACTGAGATAAATTATGAAGGTCCTCACCAGACTGAGGCATGAAAAGAACTTACTTGGGAGATATTCCTCACCCAAATTCACAATCGTTTGTTTTTTTTTTTAGAAATTAGTAACTTGGGACGCAAGTTATCTACTCTAGAAGAAGTCTGCTAGAATTTTCATTGCTAGCAGTGGCACGCTCATACATCAAAGAAAGCTGACTTGTTGACCAGTCAATAGTTTTCAAGGTAGTGGGGAACTTTGCCCTTCCATCTCAGGAGTAAAACGCAAAACGGGGTGAACAATTTGGCACGCCTAGTGGGACTTCTCAGTATACATACTCTGACAGATAACTTGTCAAGTTTATGAATATTGGAAGCTCTAGCCAGAACCCGCACCACGATATGGAGATAAACCAAGTAGCTCTCAGGGAAGGACTGGAGTCAGAAGAAAGTGATGCCAGGTAGTCAGCCCACAGAAGTACAGTAAGCAGACGTTCCAGGACCGGCTCAAGAAGGATAAATCAAATACAGGAATCTGTGCTCCGATAGGAGGTTACAACACAGAGAAGCCAAGATACTCTGAACAACATGACATCCATGATGCAATGGCAGGTTAACAGGCAGTTCAGGAAGGAACGTGAGGCTGCCATGGCCAGAATCCCAAATCCAGATGCTGTAGTCCAGCAGCTAGACCTTCCTTATGGCCCTCCACCAGGATTAGCGCGGCCATACCAGGAAAACCCTCTCATTGCACAGATAGCTGGAATACCAGGGCATGGAGAGATTCAGGCTGGACAGAAAGGATGAGGTCTTCCCATCCAAGAACGTGAGGCCCCAGCCTGGCCAGAGGGCCCTGCACCAGTTCAGATTCAGCAGAACCAGCAAGAACCTCAGCCTATTCCATAAGATCAACCTTCGGCACTTCTACCTGAGCACCAGTAGTGTGCCTTACAGACCCAGAAGGATGGATCCCAATCCGTTCCCTCCACCTGCAAGAGGCAGAAGAGGCAGAGGGGGAAACAACCCTTTTGCTAACAATGACAGAAACAGGCCAGGGGCAAACTAGAGGAATCATTCAGATCTGGAAGAGCATGAAGAACACAAGAAGGAAGCTCTGCCCAGGCCATAAGGGTAGAGCCCAGGATTGATTACGCTCAGCCAGAACAGGGGCGAAATCTCCACCCTGTCAATGCTTTGAATGACGTGGGGGCATTACAAAGAATGATCAGAGAGATTATGGAGCTTGAAGCCATAAGAGGAGAAAGGCCCACTTATAGAAAGCCATATCCGGCTTATATCGATCAAATACCTTTATCTTCAGGTTTCAAGGTACCAAACTTCACCTTGTTCAACGGAGAGGATCCCCATGCTTCATTGGTGGAGCATATTGGCAGGTTTTCTGTCCAGTGCATAGCCATAGAAAATAACCCTATGCTGAAGTTAAGGCTTTTCGGGAATTCTCTCTTTGGACAAGCTTTCACTTGGTATACTAGCCTGCCAGCTAATTCTGTTCAAACTTGGGAATAGATGGAAAGTGTTTTCCATGATAATATTATAGGATTCAGCCAGAAGTCACCATCAGTGACCTTGCTGCCCTCAAACAGAGTGAAGATGAACCTGCTCAAGACTTCATAACCAGGTTCAGGAAGCTTAAAATGAAGTGCCGGATCCTTATGGAAGAAAGACACTTCATCCAGATGGCTCAAGCAGCCCTTAAGATCTCCTTGAGAAAAAGATTTGATAGAATGCTGTTTGGAGATCTGGCAGAACTGGCGGATAAAGCATCCAAGTACGAGGAGTTGCTTAAGGAAGAGCAGCAAAAGAGAAACTCTTCCAAGGGCACGTATTACAAATCCCATTCTTCTTCAATACACCTAGTTCATGTAGAATAAAAAGAAGAAGCATAGGGCTCGAAGGAAGGAGAAATTGCAGTAGTAGAGATGGCAAAGCTGAAACATCCCATTAGCTGCAAGGCTTTTACAAAGCCACCAAAGGATCAGAAGCCGTTACCTTTCACATGAGGGTTTGTTCCGAGCAAACCAACGCATAACAAGGTTTATTCCTTTGATCTGACCAAGGTGGATGCTTTATTTGATGAAATGTTGCTACAGAAAGCGATAGAGACACCCCACAGGATGCCCAAGCGAGAAGAGCTCAAGGGCAGGCAGTATTGCAGGTGGCATAACTCTTGGAACCATTCCACCAATAGTTGTGTTGTTTTCAGAGACGTCATACAGGAAGGAATAACAGCAGGAAGGCTGAAATTGGCGGAGAAATCTTCTTCAGTCACAACAAATCCTTTTCCCCAACCACAAGTTAACATGGTCAACTTAAATTGGCCAGAACAGAAGAGAAGCAGGCTAACAACATAAGCCAGCACCAGCACAGGTAGAATGGTTTCAAGGGAAACTATTGAAAGGCCAAAAGCAACAATCTCAGCTAGGGTAGTGCTCTGCAGCAAATGCAAATGTGAAGCTGAGTTAGAAGTGGTCCTGGACAAGCAAAGTCAGCCCGCTCCGAGTATCTTTGACAGGATTGGAACCTCATCCTGAGATAGAGCCAGGCAGAAAGACTATCCTAGGCCTGCCCAGTGCAGCAGGGGAATGACTGAGCAGCCCAAGAAGGAAATATCAATCAAAATGCCCGGGAATGAAAAACCTTTAGCAGCTATCATAGAAGGAAGGTGGTATGCTGTCGGGAAAAGTGGCAGACCAACTATGGAATTGACCAGAACCCAGAAGAGGAGGGTTCAAAGGCAGTACTGCACATTCCTCAAAAACAAAAGTGATGCGCAGGTACTTCCAGGGACCAATTCTGCCAGTAAAGGGAAAAACTTCTCCAGGCAGAACAAGCAATCCAGCCACAGAAGATGTTGGAAGCAGAATCTCTAGTCAAGCCTTCTATCCATCTTGCCTCATCCTCAGACAGTCAACTTAAACCTTCACAAGTACAAGTAAAATCTGAACCTATTCTAGTAAAAGGGCAAGAGGACTGGACTGAGGAATATGAAGAGGAACAGCTAGATTATGAACCATCTGCAGATGACCAGAATGCACTCCTCGAAGCAGGAGAACAGGAAGTCTGGACAAAAGAATTTGGGGAAGAACAGATGGAATATGATGGGGAAATATATGCAGAAACTGAAGCTTTTGGTGCAGAATTAGAGGACCTATTGCAGGGTGATTTAGGCATTAACATGGTGTTTATTCTGCCAGAGAAGTTCAGAGCAGTAGAAGGACAAGAAAGCACTCTGGAAGGAGATTTCTTCTCCCAAGAAAGCTTTGAATGCAGGTTGGCAGAAGCAGAGGAGGCACCATAACAACAAATAGGCAATCCCAATACAGGCGGAACTGCCAACAAACCGGCTGCACAACAACTTTGCTTCTCCAAACCAACCAAAGAGATGGCCAATCACCTCAGACCTTTGTTTATAATAGAAAACTTTGGGGGTGTTCCTATTCCCAAGGTCATGATAGATGAAGGTGCAACCATTAATCTTCTGCCTCACAGAATGCTGAGCAAGATGGGCAGAACAGAGAAAGATTTGATTCCAACACGCTTGACCGTCACCAACTTTGCAGGGGGCATCACCAAAACTCATGGGATCCTAGATGTGGATGTCATAGTTGGAAACAAAAAGCTGAAAATTGCATTCTTTGTGGTAGACACCACTTCCACCACCTACAATGCACTTCTTGGCAGGGACTAGATTCACCAGAGTCTGTGTGTTTCTTCCACTCTCCATCAGCAATTAGCTCTGTGGAATGAAGAGGGTTATATGGAGATAGTAGAGGCCAATCCACGGCCATTTCTGCCTTCTGCCATGTGTTTTAAGGCAAGATATTATCATGATGACCTTGGTCCTTTCACTTTCCTTGGAGTCAACCAGAACGGCCGCCCCCTGGTATCACGACCTAGAGACTCATTGAAGATGGTCTAGCCAGTTCCCTAGAAGACTGGAATAGACCTTTTGTTCTAAACCCCCAGAACTCTGATATTTAGTCCCAATCAACAGGAGAAGGATCGAGCTACAACAATCCGATCCATTACAAAAATATTGTTGATGTATTGGGAGGAAAGAAAGCTCTTCATGCAGAATCCAGCCATCAATATGGCAGAATTCACCCATGAAAGCACGAAAGATCAAGAGGAAGAGAGTTTGCAAGAGGAAGTATTAGATTTTGCACCAGCAGCACTGGATAATTCTTTGCCAGAAGTAGAAGATCCTTTGCAGGAAATAAACTTAGGGACAGAAGAGGATTCAAGACCTACTTTCATCAGTGCACTATTGAAAGAGCCACTTAAGAGTGAACTCATTGTACTTTTGCAGGAGTTCAGAGATTGTTTTGCTTGGCATTATCATGAAATGCCAAGATTAGACAGGGAATTGGTGGAACACAAGCTGCCAATCAAAAAGGGTTACTTCCAGTCAAACAAGCTAGAAGAAGAATGTTTATGGACACGGAGCTGAAGGTCAAGGAAGAAATAGAAAGGTTGCTCAAAGCAGGATTCATCAGACTAGCTATTTATGCTGATTAGCTAGCCAATATTGTGCCAGTTCTGAAAAGAAAAATAGGGGCAGTCAGAATCTGCGTGGATTACAGAAATCTGAATGAAGCATCTCCCAAGGACGAGTACCCTATGCCGATGGCAGATATGCTAGTAGATGGAGCTGCTCATAACCAGATGCTATCCTTTATGGATGGCAATGTAGGTTACAATCAGATTATGGTGGCAGAAGAAGACATCCACAAGACAGCTTTCATGTGCTCAGGGCATATAGGTGCTTTTGAATATACTGTAATGCCTTTTGGTTTAAGAAATACAGGAGCCACTTATCAAAGAGCAATGAACTCTGTTTTTCATGATATGATAGGGCATTATTTGGAAGTATATATAGATGATGTGGTGATTCAATCCCCAGAGGAGGGAAATCATGTATCAAATCTGAGAATGGCATTCCTAAGAATGAGGCAACATAAACTTAGATTGAAATAGGAACAGAACTTCAAGCGGAAAGAACAGCACCAACAAGCTTTTGAGGAAATCAAGAGTTACCTCTCAAATCCATCAGTTCTGTCCCCACCAAAGAGAGGCAAACCATTCAAGCTCTATGTGTCTGCATCGGAAGTATCCATTGGGAGTCTCTTAGTCCAAGATAACAAGGAAGGGAAGAAACAGGCAGTCTACTATCTGAGCAGAACTCTAACAGAAGTAGAGAGAAAATATTCTGCAATTGAAAGACTTTGCCTAGCCTTATACTTCACTGCTGTAAAGCTCAGGCATTACATGCCGCCATATACCATCTATATCATTGCCAAGACAGATCTAATCAAATACATGCTAACAAGACCAATGCTGAGAGGCAGAATTGGAAAATGGACTCTGGCCTTGACAGAATTTGCCTTCAGGTATGTTCCCCAGAAAGCTGTCAAGGGACAAGCTGTAGCAGACTTCCTAGCAGACCATCCAGGGGAAGAAATTGAAAACATGGATTCTTTGGATATAGAAAATGCAGATCTGTTGACAAGAGTTCATGTCTGCTTGAACAATCCTATCTATTCAGTTCACCTCACACCTTGGAAGCTATACTTTGATGGATCAAAGACTGACATGGCTTCTGGGGCAGGAATTGTTTTGGAGGAACCACTTGGAATCAGACACTGTTACTCTTTCTAGTTAGATTTCCAGTGGACCAACAACAAGGCTAAATATGAGGCTCTAATCATTGGCCTAGAAATGCTGGTGGAATTAGGAATCCAGTCTGTGGAGATTTTGGGAGATTCTATGCTTGTGCTAAAACAGATTGCTGGAGAATACAAGTGCCTAAGTCCTTCTCTAGCTGTCTACTTAGTAGCAGCTAGGAATCTTCTAACAGAATTCAGAGAAGCTACTTGGGAACATATCCCAAGAGAAGAAAACTTTGCAACCAACGAACTGGCTCAGGTAGCAACAGGCATACAAATGCCTGAAGACTGTGTACAGAAGATCATCAAGGTAGGAAAGAAAACTCTACCATCTGTTCTGACCAGAGGGATGAAGACAGATGTCAATTCTGCCATGATCACTGAAGATGATTAGAGAAATCCTATCATAACTTACTTACGATATCCAACTCTGCCCTCTGAAAAGAGAGTCAGAATCATGGCTATGAACTACCTTATGTGGAATGAAGATTTGGTCCAAAAAAGCAAGGATAAGGTACTATTAAGGTGCCTCAGAAGAAAAGAATACATGAAAGTTATGGGAGAGACTCATGAAGGGATCTGTGGAGCTCACCAAGGAGGAAGAAAGATGTGCTGGTTAATCAGGTGATATGGCTACTTCTGGCCAACCATGATGAAAGATTGCATTGATAAGGCTTGTCAAAGGCACGGCCCAATCCAGCATGCCCCTTCAATTCCCATGAATCCAGTGGTAAAGCCATGGCCTTTTAGAGGATGGGCAATGGATCTTATTGGCAAGATCTATCCAGCCAGCAGCCAACATCACTGTTTTATTATTGTTGCTACAGACTACTTCACCAAATGGGTGGAAGCCAAGCCTGTTAAGTCCACTACATCTCAAGAGATCATCACCTTCATAGAAGAACAGATTATACAGAGGTTTGGCATTCCAGAATCAATCACAACTGATAGGGGATCTTCTTTCATAACTGGAGAGATGCTAGACATGGCAGATGCATTCAAGTTCAGGCTGCTTCAATCCACTCCTTATTATGCTCAAGCTAATGGATAGGCAGAATCAAGCAACAAAGTGATCATCAACATTATCAGAAAAATGCTTGAGAAAAATCCGAAGCAATGGCATGAGAAGTTGTCAGAAACTCTGTGGGCATATAAGACTTCAAAGAGAGAAGCAACGGGCATGACTCCTTATGTTCTGACTTATGGACATGATACAATTCTGCCTATGGAGATAGCTGTTCAGTCCCTCAGAATTGCTTATCAACACGATCTGGTTGGAGAAAACTACTCTTAAGCCATGCTGCTAGAACTGGAAAATTGGATGCAAGCATAATTGACACCCCTAATAAACTCCTGGTAGGAAAGCAAGTTGTATCAAGGGCCTACAACAAAAGAGTCAAGAACAAGCCACATGTGTAGGATCGAGATGGGGAAGTTCATGCTGCCCCAATCAATGGCAAATGGTTGAAGAAGTTTTTTCCAACTATGTGGGATTCACAAGCTGTACAGACAGATCCCGGGATAGAGAGGGAACAACACTGAAACTGTTTGTTTCAGATTCTGTTCAGAGTTATTTTTGTTCTAAGTTGTTTAAAGTTTGTTTCCCTTTCGCTTTTTGCTTTTGTTTATTTCGTCAAAAGAAATTAAAAACCCGAAAATTACAACAAATAAACAAACTTTATTTAAAATAAATAGCCATCCTCATGGCAAATTGTTCATCATAAAGCCAAAACTAAAAAAATAAATAATAATAATAATAATAATAAATAATAAAATTCAAAACCCTAACTTCCTAAGGGTTTCTTGCAAGTTCACTTTCTTGATGGAGAGTTCCTTCTGAAGCAGCACCCCCTGGTGGATTGAAGCCTCTTCAATTTCCAAAGCTGGCCTAAAGGCTGCAACCATGCTCTGCACAAGGAAAGTAGCCTTGGTCTTGGAGCTCAGTCCAGCCCCTAGCCTGTTCTGCACCTCCCTGCATTCTGCCAATTGCTTCTGCAGCTCCTCAATCTATTTTTCCAGCTTGTCTGCAGTAGACTTAGCCTCCTTGTATCCTGCCACCATCTGGTCCAGTTCTGCCTTCTGCTTTGCAAAATCAGCCAAGTTGGCTTCGTGAGTAGCCTTGCATAATTCAGAAGTCTTGAAGGAGGGCTTGAGATCCTCATAGCGATCATGGAGGTTGAGCACATCTCTTGCCAGGCCAATACTCATCTCAAGTATGGGTTTGGGGGCCATATTCTGTCTGTGCAGCAGGTCCAGGTCTTTCATCAACTGGTCAATGGCTTCCTTGTCCTCATCCAGCTCCAGCTTAATAGATTGCCAGATCTTCAGTCTCTCTATAGCCTCCTCCACTGCCTTGGATTTTGCCTTGCCTTGAGGGGAGCTGAGTTTCTCCAATTTGTCCAGCTGGGCGTCTAGGTCCATAGCTTCAAACACTGCCAGTTCTGGATCAACAAAGGAGGCCGTGGTAGATGAACCTGGGAAGGAATGGATAGGCATCTGCAGAAGAGAGCATGAGTCAGAATCAGGCAGAAACATTAAGAAAAAGGCCTGAAAAATATAATGAACACTTACATCAACAATTGGGGGCTTCAAGGGGCTGGTCACCACTGACAGGGCACCAACAGGTCTGGGCCCTTCTACCTAGAAGGACTACAACAATTAAAGAAGCAAAACATAACAGAATTGCAGAAAATGTGAGCAGAATTGGAAGAAAAATTACTGTAACTTCAGGAGCAGATATAGCCACTTCCACTCCAGCTTCTGGAACCACAACAGCCTGGTCCACAGCCTCTGATGCAGACTGTCCTACTTGCTCCTCAGCTGCTGGAACAGCAGTAGAGTGTTCTACCTCTGGATCCTCAAACAGGGCCAACTCTGAGCTAGTCAGCCTTGCTCTTGTGTCTTCCTGCTGTTTCTGAGCTAACACAATACTTTTACTATTACCTCAGCAAGAATCTCCCCCACCAGATAGACAGAAGTCAGAATAGAAGGAATAAAAAGACAGAAAAAGCTGATACAGCCAGGGAAACAGGACTCACCTCTTCTTCCACTATCTTGACCTTCTCCTGAGGCCTCTCTCCTACTTCTTCCAGCCCTTCCAGCTCTTTCTCTTGCTCCACAACTTCAAAGGCCTCTCTCAACTCTTCATCTGTGTCAGAAGCAGTGGTGGGAACTGCTGCAGTTCCTTCTGTGGCCACATATTCCACCACCGTCTTCTTTCTAAGCCTTTCTGACTTAGTAAGAGGAGGAGAATGACCTTCAGCTGCAACGGACAGAAAATAGGCCATTAGAACATAAGCTAGTATAGGACAAGAACAGAACTACGAAAGGCTCAAAACTGTCGAAATTCACCTGAAGTCACAGGCTGAGCAATTTCCTTTCTTTTCCTTCTAACAGAAGGAGTGGCCTCAACAGGAGTTTGTTCTGCTTGATCTTCTTCTTCTTCTTCTTCTCCAGAAGGCAGCTCCAAGTCCCCAGCAGAAATAATAGAAGTAACTACATAGGAAATGACAATGTCAAATGCCAATTTAGCAGGAAAAGGTAGAGGGAACAGAAGGATAAAAAATTTATCAAATACTTCTCCAGCCTCGGCAGACTGTCCACCAACGTTCTGTGTCATTGAGGGATCTGTTGCAGACATAACAAAGTGTTAGATATCACCATTTCAAAAATAGAATAAGCATAACAGACAGAATTAAGATACTACCTTCCAGAACCTGGGCATTGATGTCCTTTATGGTATGCACCATAAATTTATAAGTATCCTCCCCTGTGTGAACGGCCCAACCATCCCAACCATCAAAGAGCACTGCCAGTGCAGTGCTGGAAGCAGGCAGATTTCAAAATTGAGCTTTCCACCAGGCGTCGAAATCGACAGAACTGCAGGAATTGGGCTCCAAGGACGGATAAAGGGCATTTGCACTGTTGTTGATCTTGTTCACTGCGCACCTGGCATCCTTATGTACCTCCAGATCATCTAAGTGCCTCCAGGAAGAAGCCCGATTGCAGCTCCTATACGATTTGAGTGGAATGAGTTGTGGGCAGCCAAGCTGCCTTGCACAAAAATTTGGATGATATACTTCTGCCCCCAGATGATAATTGGGAGGCTTCCCACCTCCATGGGGCAGGTCTTTTGGCAAGGTCACACTCAGGAACTTCTTCCTAAAATCAATTCTGGCTTCTTCTTCGTCCGGCTCTCCCTCGAACAAACGATGCCCAGGCTGGAACCAAGGATAGGTCCTTCTGATTACCAACTGCCACTAAGCTGTTGATCTTTTAGTACAGTGCCGGAAGAACATCATATACTCTTCAAGGGAGCGCTTGGGCAATTCTGCCGACATCATAAGCTGAGCTAGAACTTGATCTTCAGGCAGAACTATGTCTGGGAACCTCAGTTCTGGGAAGTAGACTTGCAACCAGATCTGGATCAAGCAGAATGCACCAGGAGCAGACAGGTTCAGCGGATTATCCAGGGTGGTAGTGTGCAAGTTCTTGAACAAATGAGCCAGAATTGTAGGTCTGAGTCCAACATCAGTATGGTTGTGCAGGGCTTCTGCCAGATGTCTGTACTCAAGCAGAACTGCCGAGGAGCGGTTGGAAAGAATGAACTTGTTCAGCCAATACAGAAGGAATAGCATGTGTTGCTGGTCCTTATCCTTCTCAGCACTGAATTTCCTCAGGTAATTGGAGAAGGAGCAATTCTGGTTGATAAGGGCTGGAGAGATGGTGAATGGCTTGGCCATTTTTTGCTGGTTCTTCCTCTTGTGATAATCACCAATAGCATCAACGGGTCTTCCATGGGGCTTGAACCCAAAAATCTGAGCCATGTCCAGCAGAGTTGGAGTCTGGGGCCTACGCAAAAGTCAAAGGTGTTGCTGGCAGAATTCCAGAAACACAAGGCAGCGGCAAGAAGGTTCTCATCTCTATTGATAGATTGCTTGGACAGAAGTATCATCATAGATACCAGCCTGCTTCCAATGAGTTCTATATCTT